TCATAAAAATCGAAAATTTCAGTGGTCTATATATAACTCAAAAAAAGTTTTTTATGTAAGTAATTTCGAAAATTAAAGTGTATATAGATATCACTAACGTATGTTTTTCTCCTTTAACCGCTTTTATTTCGAGTACCGTTTCGAAAATCAAGAAATGACCTCTCTAAAGTACCTACCAGCTCAAGAACATTACCTTTCAGAAAAGACGCAGCACTGCCTGCACATAATACTCTTGATCAAATTTAAGGGGTGAAAAGGTGAAAAAGAAAAAAAAAGATTTTATAAACGTATTTTAATTCAATGTAATATAATTCCATTTATAAAAAAAAAATTGGTAACCTTATCTATATGTCGGCACCTACATTTTAATTATTGGCTATAGTATGAATCTATATTATAAAAACTCATACTTTGATATTTTAATACGGGCGTATAWGAATTTATTTTGAATAGAACCATAAGGTGCCGCACTAGGCCGCACGGCTTTCCTTGATGTTTACCGACAACCATCGGGAACCCACAGATTCGGCCGATCAGCTACAAAAGCCATGTGGTTTCACGTTCTCACCAAAATATTAAAGTCGGGTGGCAAAGCGAGGGGCTTTGGCCGCACACCAGTGAGGACGTGCCTTTATAAAACCTTGATACTAACGGTCGAAACTAATGTGTTCAAACCTTATCTTTTAAAATCTATAACTTATTACCTATTATAACATTTATAACTGATTCATTAGGTACTTTTCGATCTTAAATGGTCAATTTAATATTAAATAATATAGATTAAAGTGCCCTTTCAATTGATAACCCTCTTGGCGATACTAATTTCATTAATGATATACTCTATTATAAATTTATAATTATGATATTATGTAATGTATCAGGTGATATTATATTACTGTTAATTACCTACTATCTACTTAGTATACTTTATTTTTTTTATAATAAACGCTATTACATATATATATTACATTTTCTACATTTAAATGAATAATAATAATGCAAATATTATATAAGAGTTTTAAATCTTATCTGATAAAATGTATTTACTTTACTATATATAATTGTCGGTTATGTAACTTAATTATTATTTTAATTACGATAATATATTACATAACTCGGTAATAATAATTTATTTTACGATTGTTATTGCAAAACAACAGATTGTATATTTTATATTCTTATAATCAAAGCGATGAATATGTATTMAAATTATGTTTATTTATTTTTCGTCTATGTGACGATTAATAATGTTTCATATAATTATGTAAACTGTATACCTCTTAAACGTAGTCTCTAGAAGCCGGTTAGATCTAGTTATTACTTATTGGCAAGGGAGGGTTAAAAATTAATACTGTACTAATCAGGGGAAAAAATTATGTTACGTTAGAATAATTACGCAACTGCAGTTACAGCAACTATTGAAAATACAATTGTATTTTTTTTATTATTATTATTATTATTAGTTTAAAACCAATTTTCATAAATATGAATTTAACATTTTTACCAAATATTAAAATTTGCTTATGCTAGCAGCTATGAATAACAAGTAGTAACATAGGTAGGATATTGAAACTTTTCACGGTGGGCCACGGCTGGATGTGGGCATCGAACAATATTCATTCAAATAATAATTAAAATTTATATGTGTTCAAATCTATGGCTGTCAAAAAAAAAAAACTGAAAAATAAATATAAATATGTATTTAAAACGTTTTAATATAGGTACATATTTTGTGACTCGTCACTCGTGTAATATTAAATATGTATCGATGCTGACTGTTGTCAAGTACTTACCTACTATTAATCTTGTATTAGCTAGTTACCTAGTTATATTTTAAAAGGATACTGGCCAATTCAAAAACTAATTGTATTTGTTAGTAGACCTATATAAAATAATATTATAAATTTCCTCGTCGATTATGAGTTTATGACATATACAATATTAGGTATTATATTATATGCCTTATTTAAATATTTAATTCAATAAATTTGTATTTATTTTTATACTTGTTACTAAATAGAAAGATATTAGCCAGATCAAAAATGTTTTTGTTA